GAACTAACCTAGACGTTTGATAAGTAATCTACAGTATTCGTGTCCGTGTTGTATCCGATATACAAACTCTCGCCTACGCCTCGAGTTTGTATATCTGATACAGCACGGCCACTCATACTGTATATATTACTTGTTGATTCAACAAAATTCACTCTAGATATTGCTAGAGTATCCTATATTGATCGCATAATTTGTGAAAAACTTGTTTGGTTGGTCTTGGTAAGAGTAGTCGCACTGTAAACATCTAGTATAAAAAAATTATAATAAACACACAAGATTTACTTACCTCTATTGTTGACAGCCAGTCTCCTAGATCAAACTGCATGGGTTGTTTGGTTTTCTTTGCTTCCTGAGGTACTTGTTTAGTGTTGCCATCATAGTCCTTTGTCTTCTTCTTCTTCTTTTTCTTCTTCTTTTTACTCGGACCTTCATTCTCATCGTGGTCTTGTTTATCTGGTGTTGTACTGGAGTACTTTTCATTGGGTAAGTTTCTTGATGGTTGGGTCTATCATAGGGAATGGTTAGGTATTAGGTAAATTGATAGAATGAATGCAAAGAGTAGACAGAGAAATAGGAAGGAAGGAAGGCAAAGGGAAAAGATATACACAGGATAGGAGGGAGGGAAGAAGGGGGCCATGTAAGGAATGAGGGAGAAAGGAACCACAAGATAGGAAGTCAAGTAAGGAGGGAGGTATGTACGCCGGTGGGGATAAGGGGATGAGGAAGTAGGGCAGAAATGGAGACAGGAAAGGAGGGAAGAAGCAATGCATGAAAAGAGGCAGAAATTCACACTGCATAAGATGGTAGCAGGGGAAGGGGAAGGAAGCCAAGGAAGGAGGGGAAAAAGGCAACCAAGATAGGAAAGAGGAAGACAAGTAAGTAGGGAGGTAGGGAGACACACATGAAAGGGATATCAGGAAGCAGGAGGGGCATGCAGGAAAAAAGGGGAGTGAGGCAACAAGGGAGTGAGGCAACAAGGGAATAAGGGAAGTAGTTTGGGAAGGTAGGAAAGTCCCAGAAAGCAGAGGCAGCCACAACGAAGTGAATGCTATAAGAAAGAATGAGGAGGCAGGAAGGAAAATAAGAAATGAGGAAGGAGGGAAATGGGGAAGGGGAAAGGGAAGGGAAAGGTGAAGGGGAAGGCAATGGGCAAAGGGGAAGGCGAATGCGAAGGCGAAGGAGGTGAGCAAAAAGATAGGGAGGAAAAAAGGCTAAAGAAAATGGATGCTGTGTGAAGAGAACAGGGGAAAGGGCAGGAAGGGAAAGAGCGAAGGAAAGGTGAGGAAGGAAGGGAGGGAGTGAGGGAGGGAACCTATCCATCCAACATGACAAGACCTCAAGGTCAAAAAATTGTAACCAACCTACCTTGGGCTTTGGCATTGCTTTCAATACAGCACTATATGATATATCGGCATTCTACTCCAAACCTACAACTAATCACTGGCCAGAGAAGTACTTGATGCTTTACTTGACGCTTGTAAGTCAGGGAATTCATCGTCACCTTCATGAAGTTCAAATCCAGAATCCTCATGGGGTAATTTCCTCCAATTGGTTTTTTTTTAGCAAAAGTTATATCTCTTTTTGATTTTGTTCGGTTTTTATTATCTTTACAATTTTTACCTTTTTCGGCTATTTTTCTCGAATAGTTTTGTTGGTTTTACTTTCAGATTCAATACTTACACTACTATCTTTTAGGACAGCTTTGCTCTTTCCTTAATAATGCTTACTTTGTCTGTCAAAATCCTTTGGTGCAATTATAGTTTCTGGAGTAATTTCTTTATCTTCAAAAGTCTTTCTTTTCTGTTTATTATTGTCCATTTTTCTTTCTTTCTTCTCATTTCTTATTCTTTTCCATTTTTCCAGTTTAGGTTGAGAATTCACACAGTATTCTTATCATCTCTTTCATTCATTTCTTTTCACTTTGCAACCAATTGGTTCTCAAAT